GAAAACCCACCCAATCCTTTTGGAACGGCAAAAAAGCCAATAGCTACCCGCCACGTGTGCCTATATTAAGACTGGCCAATAATGTGGCGGAAATCTTAATACAAATGGCGGGAACTTCCTTGTACTGTGCATTTACCATAATGCAAAAGAAATGCACGATGCAAAGAAGGCTGCAAAACTGGCGGGAAAAACTCCTGCACGCGGGTTCTTAATTGCAACAGAACACTCCACCGTGCAAAAGAGCTGCAATTTAGCAGGAACACAATTTAGCAATGCTGAAGCACACACAAACAAGAAAATCACAACTTTGGGTTGTGACAGAGCCAAGGGCAGTAGGACCCAGGGGAAGCCCGGCGGGCTCCAACAACAGTGGGGCCCACGCAGCCCCCCGGGAACAGTGCTGATGGGGCCCAGAGCAGGGTGGCAGGAGCGTGGGGTCCCAGCTGGCAGGGGCTCTGGAGCTGGGCCAGCTCCCCCCTCCCTGCTGGTGCAGCTCAGCCCGGCTCCACAGACCCCTGCTGGCCTGTGCCCTGCTCTGGGCCTCACTGGTGCTGGCCCTGGAACATTGGTCCCAAGACATTGGGACGTTGGTCCCAAGATGGTGACCAGGGTGTGAGGCACCTGTCAAGGGGCGGGGCTACCCATGTGGCTCTCAACAGCCTGCTGAAACTGGGTAAGCGGCCCTCTGCCCAAAATAATTGCCCGCCCCTGCGATATACTATGTACACAATTGAAAGAGTAGCCTTTGAACTTGGCACACCAAGCATGTGTGGCAGGCAGTAGTGAAGGGGCTAAATGCTAGTGTAACAGCAAAATATAATGTTTTGGGAAAATTGTCATTGTAGTTTGTTACACAAATTGCCAATTGCTCAAATCACAAGCAAGACTTTATAAAGGGGCATAAGGCAAGATTCTGTGTTTATTGATTACATGAGTTAGACATAGAGGTTCAGGCACACTGTTCATACAAACACACACAAATAATCATACACATCACTATAGACAGGCATACACATACACAAAACAACCATTTCATCCACACATACACCAGATATAGTTACCAGCAGTAGTTGCTCAGCATCAGCCCAGGGTGGCCAACCCGGGCTTATTGAGTAGATGATGATGATTTGAAGATAGCAAATTTAAAGATAACAGCTGAAGCAGGGTGAACAGATGCATCTGTGCTCTGATGAAACAGCAGTAGAAAAAGATACTCACCCAACTTGGCATTTTCAAAGTGTTCTTTTATAGGGATTGGCATCCTTTGTTTCAGTGCTTTGGGGTTTTTCCATACCCAGCTTCTGTTTTTGCGGTTGTTCTTGTGTCTTCAGCTTATCTTAGCCTTGGAATGTTTTTGTTGCCCGTCTGGCAGAATTTCTTCTTCTGTTATCTCCTTTGTGCCTTCAAGCTTCAAAGGGATTCTTCAGCCGTTTGTTAGTTAGTTAGTGGTTGGTAACTTACATTTGATACCTTGTTGCTTACATAAGCAGTTGAATCTTCTTCTCCCGTCTCCCTGCCATTCTCTCACTGTGGTGGGAGATGTGCAGGCCGCCTCCCGGTCCCACCCATGTCGCCATATGCGAGCCGGGAGCGATATGTGGACCCGTCTTTGCGCACGCGGGCTGCGGCCAGCAGCCCAGGCACGTGGGGTCAGAAGGGACTGTGGGGGCGGTAAGGAACACACGGGCTAGAATTAGTCACAGAGGCGTAGTGGTTGATTCAGAGATTATTTACTTACACCCAAGATGGTCGCAGTGTAGGAGTTGTCGAAGCTCCGTGGGCTCTATTCGGTTCTCAGGCCCCGGAGTTGTTAAGGATCCGTGGGTTCGAAAATTGAGTATATAGGATAGGGATACGTCTAGGATTGCGCTTGGCGACGGGGAGAGGCCAGAGGCTGTTTAGACCTCTGTTGCCTTCTTAAGAAATGCGTTGGGTCCATTAGGATCCGCAGCGCTTAGAGATCTTCACGCTCTCCCTCTCAAACTCTAATTGCTCTCTCTCTCTAACTTGGACTCCAATTGCTCTCTCTCCGACTTGGGCGGAAACCACCCAAGCTCTTTATACGGCTAGCAAGCCAATCGCTAGCCGCCCCGGAATCTAAATACAAATGGCGGGAACTCCTTTGCACCGTGCATCACTATGATGCAAAAGAAATGCACCATGCAAAGAAGGCTACAAACGGCGGGAAATACTCTTTTGCACGCGGGTTCTCCTATTGCAGCAGAAAACTCTACCGTGCAAAGAAGCTGCAATTTGGCGGGAACATAATTTAGCGGTGCCGAAGCACACAAAAACAAAAAACCACAACTTTGGGTTGTGACATCCCCCCTTGCTGAGAGCATAGCTAAATTATGCTATACACTCATATCAAGAACCTTGTCGTGAGTCGTCAAACGAGCAAATAAACAAACATAAAATTTGTTGTCCTGGAATTGAGTTACATAATAATCAAGCAATAATAACACAAACACATAATCTGATTCATAACAAAACTGCACGATCAGGGCTTCAGTGGGCGTCATGGCGAAGTTGTACGTCGGGCCCTCACTTCTTTCGGTGATGTCATCCATTTTAGGGCTTCTCTTCGCCACGCACTCTGGATTCCGGATCTGTAAACAGAGAACTCTCAAAAAAAAAAAACAGGTTAATGATCTTATTTAACAAACTTAAACAATTTTTATGGCTCAATTGGATGAAATCGTTGAGGATCCATCATCTGGCTCTTCTAAATAACGAAAACCTAACTCATAAGCTAATTGCCATTGGCCTGTGTCTCCTAAAATCCGAAGTTGTCTTTTGTTAAGTCCGGAACGCTGTAGGAGAAATCCAAACATGTATCGCTCCTCTAGGGTTCTCGGTGGAAGTGGTGGAAGATCGAATTCACGACGTCTGGTGCCTTGAGATCTGGTCGGGTGTTAACAGTCTCGATCAAGAGATGATCCTGGCTCCATTAGGATACGCAGTCTTGACAACTGGCAAAGGAGATTACACACAGGTTGGTTTAGCATTGGACTGAGCAGAATCTGAAGGACGACGATATTCTTTTGCCCATAAATCTCGAGGCAACTATCTAAACTGTGAACGGTTACTGGAACGGTTCCAGGATCTCGCAGGTGACGGTGAGGCCGTGGTCTTATTCGCTGGAGTGATGTCAGTCCCAGCGCACATGTTCTGGGGTTCCAGGCACAGTACGAGACTTCGATGATTGCTAGCATAAGATGCTCTGCGCCGGTATATTCTGGCCGTCCTGCATGCCATACGTGGGCTTTCTGACTAATTAGGCCTGCAACAAGCGCTGGCAGTGGAATAGGCCAGTGAGTATTAACTGTTATCATGTCGATGTCAGTGACATGTCCTCTACTCCACG